GAATGTTATTGAGAAAAGTTGTTCACAATTAAAATTCATACCTAAATACCAGAACATGGCTTCCTAAGACATTCTTCAGTTCTTCAATTCCTTTCGTTAATAAATTCCCATTTTTTTTTTCAAATTCAAGCATATTTTTGCATTCAACTTGGATTTCAATTTTTTTAGGAAATCACAAACTTCATGTTTGTTGCAACGATATTCAGCTCAACTTTGAAATTTTGCGAACCCTATTTTCAACAAGGTAAAACATCATTAATGATAATATGCATATTCAAAAACCTTCATTTAATGTGAACATTTTGTATTTGAAATGTTTATGAAAAAGCTGAACAAATTGATCGACAACCATGATATCTTTTGAAAAATCACGGACACCCAAGGAACAGAACAAATGAGGGTTGACGGTTGACAGTAAATATTGAGGCAGTTTGGTGACATACTCCTTATCTAATGATGTTTTACCTTGTTGAAAATATGGTTTGCGAAATCTCAAAATTAAGCTGTATATTGTTGCAACAAACATCAAGTTTGTGATTCCCTGAAAAAATAAAATCCGAGTTGATTGCACAAAAGTGCATTAATTTCAACGAAAGTATGATCAACTGATTTTGTTATGATCAAATTATGAAAGTGTTTAGGGTGAATATAAAAAAAAAATACAAATTGGGAAGTTATTAATGGAACAAATCGAAACACTAAAATATGTCTTAGGAGGCCATGTTTTGGTATTCAGGAAAAACTTTCAATTGTAAAGAACTTTTTTCCATAACAGTTTGCTGAATTTTCTGAAATAAGGGTACTTTACTCCTGAGCATTTTTTATATTTTTTGACCTACCCTGTATGCTGTTTGACTTGCAACGATTCTAAGTGCACCTTAAATGATTACCGAACATGCACCAACCTTTGACACTATCTGTATTTTGGTTGTGCAATTCATCAAAAAAATTTCCATATGTTGCACACTGTACAGGGTGATTCACCATAAATGTCCCCCCCTTTAGCTCACTCATTATTGAACCGATTTGAAAATTTGAAAAATCATCTAAAATAATTTTTCAGAAATTTTTTTTCCGTTGCATCAGAAAATACAGGGTGCTCGGACCAAACCATCTACTTGATTTTTTCAAATGGAACACCCTGTATTTCATTGTATTTTCATATTCTTCCTGAAGAGCTGATTTCATCAATATATCACACTTGGGGTCTAGCGGGAATGATTACAGAGATATAGGGAGTTCAAAATCGAGATTTTTCAACTTTAGGATTTTTTTGTGTTGAAACTATTCATTATTGGTCAAAACGGCTTTCATGTCCGTATCTCTTTTGTGATTCACTATCTACTGACATTTATTAATTGGAACAGATACAGGGTGGTCAGAATTCTGAATCTTGAATCACACTGTATATGTTCCAATTGAATGTCAGTAGATAGTAAATCAAAAGTTGAGATAGAAACATTGAAGCCGTTTTGACCAATAATGAATAGTTTCGACACGAAAAAATCCTAAAGTTGAAAAATCTCGATTTTGAACACCCCATATCTCTGTAATCATTCCCGCTAGACCCCAAGTGTGATGTATTGATGAAATCAGCTCTTCACGGAGAATATAAAAATACAATGAAATACAGGGTGTTCCATTTGAAAATATCAAGTAGTACTCTGTAGATCGTTTGGTCCGAGCACCCTGTATTTTCTGATGCAACGGGAAAAAAAATTCTGAAAAATCATTTTAGATGCTTTTTCAAATTTTTAGATAGATTCAAAAATAAGTGAGCCAGAGGGGGGGACATTTATGGTGAATCACCCTGTACAAGTACAGAGGATTTGCCCCAAAATTTTACTGAAATTCAAATGGCACTCTGTATGAATAATTTTACGTAAGTCGATAGAGCGAAAAAATACCTTTCAAATGACATTTGTTTTCAAAATGGCGGATCATGCAGGAACCTTTTTGTCTGCAATCATCATGGACACATTGTGACGTCATCCGTCGAATTTTTGGCAAGCATCCTTATGAAATAAAAAATTTACGAAGCACTTGGATTAGTTATTGATGGAACATATTTTTTTTCAACGCTTGAAGCGCACGAAAGGAAATCCCTATGATAATTTGTTTTTATTAAGTCATCATTTCAAACAATTTTCTTAGTCTTAAATTCCCCCAAGAATGTGAAATAGGAATGGTACTTTATTCAAGGAAAGTTCAGTATAAAGAGGTCATTATGTTGTTTTTATAGGAATATTGAGGAATGAAAAAGTTGTTTGAAACCACCCAAACTTTTATTTTGTGTAGTTGTTTTATATACAGTGTCATTCGTTTTTTCGGGTAGGCTAATAGCTTTGTGTTTTTTTTTTTCAATGGAACACCCTGAATTCAGCTTTCCATGAAGATTTCGAGAATTCAATAGTTGATAGGATGTTCCATTCGAGAAATTGTCTATTATAAATGTGGAAATTGAGAATGAAAATCAACCTGTTTCAGGATATCCCTTGGAAATATTGAGTTTGGCTCGAAATTCTTTTTTATTTAATTTGACATGTGATGTGGAACTTTTCAAAACTACGGAAATATTGAAACTTCTCACTTTTCGTATAACCTGTGGTGTAAAGTGAAATATAACATAACTGGTTCAACTGGTGATGAAATATTATTCACTACAGCACCAGTTACGTTATTGAATATGTGGTTGGACGAAAAGAATAATGTATTTCAAGCTGCTTTCTCAATATCAGTTGGAAAAACTGAACTTGAATCAGCCATTTTCCACTGATGGAAGTATCGAACGAGTCTTTTTCGTGAATTTGGTCACTAATTTGCGACCATATTATTTTATGACGGATACTTCGAAGTGACGGGCGGAGTCGACTTGCCTATACTCAATTTTTGTACATAATCGGTAGAATTCATGTAGAAATGAAGGTCATTATATTATCTAATCGAGCGAAAATTTCTAGCAAAATTAGAAAAAAAATTACACGTAATACGTTCGTTCGTCTCGCATAATCCCGTCGTCAAACAAAATGACGCGTTTCCTAACTGGTTACGTATAAAGCACTGTACTTTTCACACTTTGTCGACCATCTCCATATCAACGAAGTTCCTCAGTGATGAAGAATGCGATAATGACTAATTGAAATTTTATCTCATAGAGAATGTCACTCAGAAACTAGTGGCGCACTCATTTTTTTTTTTTTTTTTTTTCGGGGTAAGTATATGATTTTGGAGATAAGTACGCATCAAACTTATGATTTTTTCAGTAGAACACCCTGTATTTCATCCGCTCATCAAATTCCTTGTTTTCTTTCCTTTCGAATTATGTTTAATATTATGAATATAAAATTTTCAAAGATGCTCCAAAATCAATGAAGCATGGACTTTCATAGTGATATAGATTTTTTAAATAAAAAAGTTCCACTTGAACTTTTGATTTTACCATGAAGAGAAAAAAACAATTCCAACACTGAATAACTAACACAAAACAAAACGTAGGTACCTAATAGCAACAAATAAATAGTAATAAGAAGTATACATAATGTTGAATAAGCAGCTGTTTCAATATTTACTAAAACAATTGAATTTCGAAATCATTATTCAGTAACTTATTCATTGAATTATTCGAATTGATGTCCCTTTTCTTTATGACACAATTGACACAATTCCTCAACAGGTACAAGTACACTGGTATGCAGAAATCATGTCGCAGTTGGACGGTGTAACCGCTTTTATTGTAGCGGTGATTTAGAGCGATTACATCGTCCAACTGCGACATGTTTTCTGAATACGAGTGTACGTCTTAATACACTAGGAAGCACAACAATCTTGAAGAAATTCGTGCAAAATGGTGTAACAACAGAGGCAGTTTTTTAGGAATTACAAAGATATCCTTCAATGATTTTTAATGCGTCTTCAGGTTAGGTGTGTCAATTGTGTCAATTGTGACAATTGTGTGGAAAACTGGGCAACAATCAAGTTACTGTATAATTTCGAAATTCAACTGTTTCGGTGAATATTCAATCAGGTGCCTCTTTTACATCATGAATTTATTCTTATTACTATTCATTTGTTGCTATTAGGTACACCTAGGTACGTTTTGTGTTCTGTTAGGTAATTGGTGTCAGTATATCGTTTCTGTCCTCATCAAAAAAATATCAGAAGTAATATTCCTCCAATTAGACTTTTTCATAAAAAAATCAATAGTCCACTATTGAAATACAATGTTTGAGTGATTTTTGAGCATCTTTGAATTTATCTATACAATATATATCATTTTGAAGGAGGAAAGAGGAATTTAATGAGCTAATAAATTGAAAAAATCATAAGTTTGAGTTGAATCTCCAAAACCATACTGCGAAAAAAGAATTGAGTACGACATTGGAATCTGAATGATATTCTTCATGACGAAAGATTTGAAAAACTCCGTGAATATAGAGGGTGTCCAAAATGTGTGAATCATCAAAAACGCCCGTTACTTATGACGGAAATAAGTTAGGCAAAATCAGAGTTTCACAAAAAAGTGGCACAGAACCGCAAAAACCGCAAGGTTCCATGTTCCACAACAACAGAGATACCCCAGATGTCTCAACCAAAATGGAATACACTGTACAGGGTGATTCAAACTCCCCGCCCTTGGCTCATAACAAGGAAAGGAAAACTGCAGATGGAAATCTCTCAGAGGGGATATATTTATCCTTATTTGAAAATATCTCAGCTCCTTTCAAAATGGCGGAAATGACGTCTGCAAAATTATTTTTTCCACAGAGTCACAATTTTTCCTCATGTTCTGAAAAAACATATATTTTTTTAAACCTCTTCCATCGTGAAACTTTCTTTCTTTCTTCATCAAGTTGATAGCTATGATGTTATTACCGGGATAAAATGCATAAAATGTAATTCTGTATTTCATCCTAGCTGTGCTGTTAAGTACAAAGTCAAACAAACTGAAGACAAAAAATGTGTAATTTGCTGTGAAAACAAAAATGATGCAAATGTGGTAGTGAACGACTATGACTGTGACAAGGAATTTTATGATGCCATAGAAGATCCAGAAAAAAAGATAGATGCGCCCGTGGTGAGTTACTTGTTGAAACAAAAAGACACAATCATCACTGAATTGAGAGATAAAATCAAATTATTGTACGTTCAAATCGACCTTCTTAATAAAATCAACGATTCGAATATAAATAAAGATAAAGATAAGGAACCACAAAAAGAAGTACGAGCAAGAAATGTGGAGAGTCCTTCAACTACTGCAGCAAAACAAGTGAGGCAAGAAAACACAACTGTTGACCTACAAAAAGCAGGGAATTCCAAAACGATTGAAAAACGTTCAGCTGATGTGGTTGATTCACAGACAGCAGGGAGTTCCAAAATAAACCAAAAACACATGACAGCTAAACTACATGAATTGAATACCTTGCAGAAATGCACTGAAATTATTAATTTAGGTGATGCTACTTCTCCAAATGTAGATAACTGGCAAACAGTGAAATATAAACAAAAGCCTCCCAGAAGAAAAATGATCGTTGGCTGCAATGTGGAATCTACTGTAAAAGGAGTACCTAAAAATGTGATTTTACATGTATCCAGAGTGGAAAACGCTACTACAGCCGAAGATCTGACCAAATTATTGAAGCCTGTGTTTCCTGAAGTGAAATGTGATTTGATGACATCAAAATTCCCGAGTATATACTCATCATTTAAGGTAACAATTGACGATAAAAACTTCCGCAAGGCCATGAACCCTAATCTGTGGCCTAATGGTGCTTGCATCAGCAAGTTTTTTCAGAAGAGGGTTCAGTCAATCCCTGCAAAGGACTGATGTACAATCCTCAGTTATTGTTACTGAATGCACAAAGCCTCAATGCAGAAACGATCAACAGTTTAGAAGTTGATATTAGTGATGCTGACTTGCAATTTTTATGTTTTACTGAAACTCATTGTAAAAACGATTCTATACAGTACAAAAATATCAATGGTTTCCATTTATCTACCCATTATTGTAGAACTAATTTTGAGAAAGGTGGAGTTGCTATATTTTCCAAACTTGGTTTGAAACACAAAGTGATCGACCTGAAAAGATATTGTGTAGACAAACATTTTGAAATTTGCGGACTGTCATATAAAACTGGTAAACATAATAACATTATTTTAGTATGTTACCGCTCCCCTTGTGGGAATATCAACATTTTCTTAGATAATATTTTGAAAGTATTTGAACAAGAATATAAACCAAACCATTATATTACCCTGGTGGGTGATTTGAACATTGACTCGTCAGCTGACTCAGCTGACAGGTATAATTTTAACAAACTTTGTAACATATTAGACAGTTTTAACATGACTTCCGTTGTTGACTGGCCCACTAGGGTAACATGCCATTCATCTACTGTAATTGATCATATCTTCACTAACTGGAACGACTCTGTTGTTTGCGTCGTTGATAATAACTTATCAGATCACCGAACAGTACTTTTTGAGATTCCTGAACAAATTGAAATAAAGAGAGGTTCTTCTCTTATGAGAAGAAGCTACAATGATCAGGCGATACACTGTTTCAATACAGTTCTTCTACAAGAAAATTGGTCTGAACTTTATAATAAGACTGACCTAAACAGTGCTTTCAATTCATTCCTGGAAGTATTCCTTTATTACTTTGAAATGTACTTCCCTTTACGGAAATGTCGCAATTCAAAGAGGAACACTAAGAAATGGGTCACAGACGATGTCAAATCATCTAGTGTCAAATTGAAAGATCTACATCTCTTACAATCAGAATACCCAGAATTACGCAATACATACAATGCTGCTAAAAAAAGACACGAAAATTTGGTAAAAAATTCCAAAAAATTGTACTATCAAAATGAAATAGCTAATTCAACAAATGTTAATAAAACAGCCTGGAATGTTATTTCAGAATTGAGCAACAAAAAGACTAGGTCACACCATAATATTGAAATTAATAAGGATGGAATAATGTATGTGAATGGCCCTGAAGTATCAAATTTGCTTAACAACCATTTCATAAATGCTCCAAAAGAAGTCATTAGGAATATTGATCAAAGTAAAATTGAAAACATAGAAAATCCAAGAATTGAACTGAATTGCTTTTCTATATTTCTCAACCCTTTTGTGGCTATAGAATTAGAAACACTACTGAAATCTAAATTAAAAAATAAAAATTCAGCAGGGAATGACGAAATACCACTTTTTCTATTGAAAAAATGCTTAAATAGCATTATTGAACCCATAACATTCTTAGTGAATTTATCTTTTTTAACTGGTGAATTTCCTGATACCCTGAAAACAGGAAAAATCATTCCCATCCATAAAAAGGGCCCAGTCAACTGTATGGATAACTATAGACCGATAACAATTACGTCCAGCTTCTCGAACATCTTTGAGTATTCATTTTTAGATCGTCTCCTGAAATTTTTAAAAAAGTTTGATATTTTTAGCAAAAACCAACACGGATTTATGAGTGATCATTCAACAAATACAGCCGCAATTTCATTTTTCGAAAAAGTTGCTGAATTCTTTGAAGCAGGAGAATGTCCTGCTGGGATCTTTTGTGATCTCAGCAGGGCATTTGACTGTGTTAACCATCAAATTTTACTATCAAAACTGTACAACTATGGAGTTAGGGGTTCAGCCCTCGGTTGGATTTCTTCCTTCTTAGTTAACCGACTGCAATACGTTTACATACCAGGGCAAATCAATTCTGAAACGAAATTAGTGAATATAGGTGTTCCGCAAGGGTCTATACTGGGGCCAATTTTATTTTTTCTGTACACCAATGATCTTGAGGAGTACCTAACATAGTCCTATGTAACGATGTATGCTGATGACACTTCTTTGATACTATCGGATAAGGACGAAATCAAAACACATCAAAAAAGTGAACAAGTTTTGGAATCTATAAATGAATGGTGTAGCTTGAATTATTTATATTTGAATGCCTCTCAGACACAAATCGTGAAATTCCACAACTGGCAAAAAACATGTCTACCATTAACCGTCCGCATCAACGATGTATTAATAAATAATACTAATGAAACAAAATTCTTGGGCCTGATCATTGATGAAAATATCAACTGGAAAAATCATTGTGTATTCTTGAGCAAGAGACTGAACTCTTTGTGTTATTTGTTCAGAAATCTCAAACAAGTCTTATAGGAGCCTCAACTGTTATCCTTGTACCACTCTCAGGTAGCTTCAAGAATTAGATATGGTATATGTTTGTGGGGCAACTCAACTTCCACTCATGATATTTTCATCTTGCAAAAAAGAATATTGAGAGTAGTTGCGGGCGTTCCTTCAACCAACTCTTGTAGAGAATTGTTTGTTAAATATAATGTTCTGACAATATTTTCTTTATATATTTATGAATTATGCAACTACATATTTAAGAACAAAACTAAATTTCCTCTGAATAAAAACATTCATAACGCGAATACACGACAGAAAAAAAATTTTTATATTCTACATTATAAATACAGGGTATCACAAAACTCACCTGCATATATGGGTTTGATGATTTACAACAAATTGCCACAAGAAATAAAGAATGCTAATGAGAGCAGGAAGTTTATCACAGCCCTTAAAAAATTCCTAATTGAGAATTGCTTTTATTCATTGGATGCATATCTCAAGATGTGATTATCATGTATAGTACTAATTAGTATTGTTCTATTATTGACCATTCATATACATATACATTTATGTTATGTTATGTTTATGTAATTATACTGTGCCCTTGTCCTCTTATACTCTTTTTTGTTTTTGATGTTGTTATTTGTTGTTACTTATGTATACAATACTGTGACGTAACCTATATCATATGAGTGATCAAAAGGACCAATAAAGATTATTATTATTATTATTATTATTATTATTATTATATGATTGGCATTTTCAAATAAACTTCAACTGACCCCGCCGTGATAAAAATCAAGTCGACCGGAAAACAAATAGTAAGTAATTTGATATATTTTGCATTCATCATTTAGAACCTATTGAAGCTGAAACCAGCTGACTCGATTTTTGATTACGGCAGGGTCAGTTGATATTCATTCGAAAATATTCTTTGCATAAAGTCACAATTTTTTTCTCATGTTCTGAAAGAAAATATTTCATTCAACAACTTTCAGAAAGGAAATTTTCTCCTATCATCATTTGGTTGATAGCTATCGGGACTTTGATGTTAGCAGTTTTGAATAAATCTTAACTGACCCCGTTGTAATGAAAATCAAGGCAAATCGTTTTGCAAGCAATATGGATTGGGATACATTTTGCATTCATATTTGAACCGATTGAAAAGTAAACCTGGCGACTTGTTACGGCGGGGTCAGTTGAGATTTATTTGAAAATACCAAAGATTATTGAAATGGAAATACTAAATCCAGAGTCCCACGGCTTTTAACCAAATGGAGATAGGAGGAACTTGTCATGATGAAAGTTGTTAAAAAATATGTTCTTTCAGAATATGAGGAAAAAATAGTGGCTTCGTGAAAAAAAAATTATCTGACGCTATCTCGGGTAAAGTTGAAATATATTTAAATACGAGAACATATACTTTACACGACACATCCATTCTAATCCTCTCTGCCGTATTTGCATTTGCATTCTCCTTTTCCTGTTATATGAGCCAAGGGAGGGAAGTTTGAATCACCCTGTACATAATGGTTTCATGCTCACATAGGTCATCTTTCGATCAGAAAATCATTCCGGACATATAAGTATTATTCAGTGTTGCGCTTCAGCGCTACAGGTGCTAAGTTTTCCTCCCATAATTTTTTTATGCACTTTTATGCACATAAGAGCAGGGTACCTAATTTCAATCTTTCATTTGAGGAACTTGGTAGCACTTTCAATATTTGAGGGATCAAAAGTAAATACTGGCGTTTTTTCTCAAACGCTATAGCAATAATGCTTTCGAAGCAATATGATAACCATGCACGGCCTTTCATTATTTTCTTGCATATTTATTCAATTTTTCCACTCCTCAGGTGCATAATAGTTATTAATACACCAAGGTAGTGAAGAATATTAGTATTACCCAGGGACAGCAATACATAACAATCATTACATTTTTGTGGAACTGAGATATGAACCTATTGCTACTATGAAAGCACTTCTTTTCAATTTAAAAAAAATCTAGTAGTAAATACCTATAACAGATTCAAATGCCATCAGAACAGTGAGTTCGGGTTATTATATTAGAGGTGGGTGGCTATGTCTTTATTGACTAGTGGTTATAAAATGACGAAAACTACCTTGGCAGTAAAAGTACACTTCACGCCTCGGGAAGGAGTAAATAATGGTAGGTTTTATAGCTAGTGGTGGAAAAAATAGTATATATACCACGGGACTGATATTAGGATAATAAGGAATACGAACAAACTGAAAGAAGATCAGGAAGGAAAGAAATTTGTTTCATCATTCGTAGACCGATGTCATTCGATATTCTCTGGTTCTTTCAATACGTGTATGAATGAAGGTAGGTGTACCAGATTTGTACCTGATGTTCAGTTTCTAAAATCAATGAATATGTTTTCCATTTAAATTTTTTGACTCATGATTTTGGTGAAAATAATCACTTATTCGAAGGGTAGGAGAAAATCCAATTCTCATTTGACCTTGAATAAGGAAAAAAATCGCCTACGGCACTCTCCTTATTTATTATATCACTCAATACTGAATGTA